CGAGATCTTTGCGGTGGCTCTGGGCCTCGTCAAATCTTATAGATATTAATGATGTTTGGACACACAACTGAATTACGAAGCAATTAATTACTTGATTATCCCCCAAATACGTTTTTTGTTTTGTTTTTTCGCGTGACTTTGCGCCCTGGGTCTAATTTGCGGCTTGATAAGGTTAAGCTGAAGCTAACTGTTTATCTACCAGCATGTTTTTGTTTTCTTTTTCCTTTTTTAAATGAAACATATTCATTTCTCTGTATTAATTATGAGTTATTGGGGGAGAGGGTTAGCCTTTAGAGTCAAAATCGTCTTAAGGCAGAGCATTTACTAACACAAATACCAAAAGGCGTGCACATAGTTAGTGTCACTTTGTGTTGGTTTGCAGCTGTACACTGAGAAAAAGACAAAAGTACGCACGCCGAATGAGAAATAAACTCTAAATAGCAAACAGAAGTTAGACAGCATGAATTCCAGTGCAAGTGTTCGAGGATGAGCCAGGGAAAAACAAAAACAAATTATATTGGAGTTAGCCGCGGAATGAGACAGAAAGAGGAACACGAAAAATTGTTAGTGTAATATTGCAGAGAGCACTCAAAGCTTATGGGCGAGCAAGTCCAGATGCACGGAGCATTTACAAAAACAAATGAGCACTCAGAGCATAGGCGTTGAGCTTCCCTGATTTACATGTAGATGGTTAAACTTTGAAGGGGGAATGCTTGATGGTTTAATCTTTATAAAAGTTTGAAATCTATTAGTTTCGTACAACCCAAAAAACTATATTTTTAAAAAGATATCTAGGTACGTATTAATATTTCTTGTAACTAATAAAGCTATTTATCATTATTGTATATTTGCAACCAAACCTTAAAAATAACTTTTATCTTTAGACAATAAAAAATTTGAATGTGTTCAAATATGTGAAATTTTTTACGTGACTTGAGAACTTTTCCAATACGAAATGTCCTGCAATCTGCAACCCCCATAACCAAGATATTCCTTTTCCTACCGACTATATAGTGTTTTTTATTACCCGCTGCGTTTGCCCCCATAATTCAGGATTTATCTGGGGAAAACAATCTGCGACAATAATTCTTAGGCCTGACATAATGTACCTCAAATGTTTTATTCGTGTTTATCGCCGGCAGTTTTTCCACGTCTGCCGCGGCAGCACTTTTGGCCAAACTTTGTTTTTCGTTTTGATTTTCCTCTTTTTTAGCAATTGCCAAAATATGGCATAATATTAGAGTCCACTTATTGACTTAATGGGCATCTTGATAGGAGGCGAAAGAGAAATATTTGATATATGGGAAAGATTTCACAGCGGGTTGGGGTTTTTGGAACAAACGGAGTTCTACGGTTCGGGGATGCTGGCAGAAGGATTTCCACTAATTAAAAAAGAAGAAAAAAGAGGACTACTGTGACATTCACAAGATCATTAATAAGGATATCTGTTTTTTAGGAATTCTTTTTGTATTCATTTACTGCGCTGCAAAGAAATTCCGTTCTCATGGTTGGCGGCAATGCAAATATTTATATAAGACAAGACTTTTGTTGCCATTTCGCTGGGCTGTCTGGGCGAACAAAAGGGTTAATGAGTTCAAGCAGCTACTTAGGCGCCCTGATTAATGATCGGCAGTTAGCTGCCAACACATGTATGCAAAACTTTGCATAAGATCATTAATTAAAGCACATACACACACAAAGGATCTGCCACAGAGAGAGCGAAAAAATATGCTAATTTTCCAGCAAACGGTGGAGATGAAAAAAAGTAAATCCCGAATAGAAAAATTCACATAATTTCCAATTATAAATTCATCGAAATGACATTTAGGCCTGGGAGATCTCTCACCTTGTCTCGGAGTCAACTCAACACCCCATCATCAGTCACCTCACCTCAGCCCTGTCATTCGAATTAATGATTCTAACCCCCTGAAGCCACCCAAAGGGTTACCCGGTCGGTAACGCTACAAAAAATCATAGTTAAATATAATAAATGTTTGTTTTTACTTCGATCTATGCAAATGCTCGGCTCACACTCAATTAACTTTGTTGTCAATCAAATGCAAATATTGTGGTTCCTTGGAAAAACTTCCATCCATTGGCAATTGCAATTTGTTTGGCTTTTCTTTCTTTCTTTTTAAATGCCGCCCTGCTGCTGTTGTGGTTCATTAGAATTGCTCAATTATTCCATCAATATGCATTTGTTGTTAATCGAATTTTTGTAGCCACCGTTTCATGCATATTTAAGTGGTTCGCTGACGTCTGTGTGAAAGCCAAAAAAGAAAGCTGGCAAGGAGTTTGGGAAATGTTTGTAAATTTCCATGGGAAAGTTTGGCTAGCGTGACGCCCTCTAAATGTGTCTTCCAAGGAATCAGCAAATGCATAAATATTTCAAAGTCGATTTGGCAAGGGAAATAAATGTTTATCCTTGGCCGATGTGTGGCAATTATAGATTCATAGAATGCATTTGTAAGTACTGATATATGCAAATGCAGTTGAAAGGTTTCAGTTTCTTCCAACACTCAATGCAACCTTTTTTTTTATTTAAATCATAGTTAAATCTTGTGAAGCGGAAAAGTTCAAAGGTGTAAGATTACATTTAAATATTTGGCAGATTTGTGAAACCATTTTCACATGAACTCTTTTAGAAATTAATTTATAAATACTTAATTTATTAAGAGCTTTTGCCACTTCATTTTATTATTGGTATTACAAACATAGACTTAGGCGTACAGAACTTAAATATACTGCCAAAGCTATGGCATCTCAAGAGGTTTCGCTGCTTAGGATTTCCCTAATCGATAAGAATTCCTTCCGAACTTTAATACATTTTAAGCAACCAATTCACAACATTGTTAGACATGGTTTTAACACACTGCTAACACGTATCGGACCTTTAAAAATGCCTTCATCTCACATCCTTCCTATAAAATGTTTACACTCAATACATGTGCTACCCCAAACTCATACCTTCTAATTCGCCTCAACCAGGATGATCAATCAAAATCTGAATTTTAATGTTATGCGGTGCATGAAACCCTAACAACAGGAACAAGAATAACCATATCCTGTGAGTAACAACCGCCGAGAAAAAGGAAAACAAAAGTGTGAAAGAATTTCCATTGCGACCCAGGGGTGCGCTCCTCTGGCATTTTTCTAACCCCTTTTGTGAGCCGGCAAAAGGCAAAATATTTGGAAAATTAAAAAAAAAGACAGAGAAGAAAGCAGGGAAGAGAGGAAAGTGAAAGGGGCGAGGATTGACTGGTAACCAGTAGCTGCCACAGGAAAATAGTAAAAATTGTAAAAATCCTATTAAGCATTTCCGGGCGAAACTCCTGTTCAGCGTTTGCTTTTGACACTTCTCGTTGGATACCTAGTATTTTTAGATAGCTTCGGGTATGCTGTCTTGGTCGAAGGGAAGCTTTCTTTTTAAAGTACTTAACAAGTGTAAAACCAAAAATGAAGTTTGAATATAATATACGATTAATGAGTTGACCTCATCTAGAAATATAATTTTAAAATATTTAAATATTACTTTTTAGAGGGTATTTTACCGTTTAATCCAAAAATCTATATCAGATTCTATTTGAATATTGGGGCTTGAATTTTCCGGCGGGGGAGACTGGCTTAAATGTCTAATTTAAATGCATGTGCTTTTAACAGTTGCAGACAGAGATTGATGATTGTTTTTCAGGACTCGGCTTTTTCTGCCACAAATAATTGCTTACAAATTTCGCGGCACAGATTTCCCTCATTAAATGATATATATACTCATATGTGGGTGTGGCAAGGGGCAGATTTTGAAGCAGGTGCAGTGCTTCCCTCATAAATCTACACTCAACCATACCTCCAACTCCTTCACATGTGCGGATCGAACAAAGGGCACTCCACATATGATGTCATCTAATCTATTTTCATGTTGTAGAATTTATGATCTCTAACCAATCTAGTTAGCCATGCTCACTTAACAAAAATTGAAAAACTTCTCCGCTATCTATGCCTCCATTGTGTGTATTTCGAGGTGTATAGAATTTTTAAAGCATTTATCGTAAATTTTGATCGAGTCGGAAGGGATACTTTGGCCACTTGGCCAACCCTTAACCACACACAGAGGCACATCCTGTTGTCCTCCTGACCCAAACCAACAAACAATATAAAGTACTGATTAGGAAGCGAAAAACAATAAATGGACCTCGCTTGCCACAAAGGCAGATGAATCAATGGATGAATGCCGCATTAGACGGCAACGGATGTCATTACGGATAATTTAAAGTGGCCCTTGGTCAGGCAAAAGATCACAAGAGGGGGAGTTATATGGAGTTATTCAACTAATGGATACCCTCTATTTAGTGAATGAATTATACAAAAATTTGATAGGTATAAAGACTTATTTTTAAGGCCTTTAGAGACTCTACTGGTTTATCAAATCTTAGCAATAATGGCAATTATGAACAAAATGCTATATAAAAAGCTAAATACAGTACAGCATTCTTTTAAAAATTTAATAAATTTATTTTTTCAATCAAAGTAATGTTGATACCACTCCTAAATATCTTTCAAATACCCTCTAAAAATGGAATGAAAATCTTCAGAGCCTTAAAAGTGAGTCGTAAACATCGCATCACAAATTGAGTCAACAGCGGAGAGAGAGGGCAACTGCAATTGGCTGCGCCTCTGGAAAAGGTTCACTCCAAATAAATATGTCAAAATCAAAATCGAAACGAAATCGAAACGCCAACGCAGTCAATGATCCTTTTTCTAAAGTCCCTGAAATTAGTTCCACCCAATTGATTTTCGCCAAATGCAATTTCTCTTTGAACTTCGGTGGCAATGGCAAGCAGCGCATTTCACGTTGCACGCGTATTAGTTCAGGTAGAGCTAAACATAATGCCACAGTTCAAGGGCACATAAAGAATAGGAACAGCGCAGGTCGCACTTGCAAAGGGTTAAAATGGGTTATTTACGAATTTTCAGAAAATTTGTAGATCGAAAACAAAGAAACATTTTTCGATTTTGTAGTTACTGTTTAAACTAATTTACTATTTATAATAATTATAGTTAGTTATTTAATAAAAATAATATTTCATTTTGAATTTATGAGCGGATTAAAGCTTCCCAAAACGAGTTAAAAATGGCCTGAAAATACTTTCTTGGTACACAAGTAAAACTTAAATTTAAGAATTTCCTCGCCAGAAGCTTGATCGTTCGGAAAATATATGTATTACTTTTTCATAATGGAAACGCTGGCCTTGTAGATACTTCTTGATGAGATACCAAACATATCCAGCAGAACGGCAGGAGGACCTGATCTCGGCACAGTGGGCACATAGAGATGCTTTACCACAAAGTTCCTATAATCAGCCAAAGCACTGAGCACTGCCTCGCCCAATCCTCCTTGCTGGTAGTGATCCTCCACGACGATAATCCTTCCACGGCACAGTTTTCCATGCTTCACGATTAGTTGCACATCGAGGGGCTTCACTGTGAAAGGGTCGATCACCCGAGCTGTGATGCAATCCTCCTCCAATCTTTCAGCTGCCACCAGACATTCATACAGTGTGACCCCTGCCCCAATCAACAGCACCTCATCCGAAGGCTTCTGTCGAACCACCTTGCCCAGACCCACGGCAAATACCTCGTCATTGTTATAGATCACCGTTGTATTCGGATATGTGGTGCGGATGAAGCATACTCCCTTCGTATTGGCAGCCAGTTCCACCGCCCTCTCCGTGCTAACGGCATCCGTGGGATAGAAGACCGTACTGCCGGGAATGCTCCTAAACATGGCTATATCCTCCAGGCCCATCAGCGAAGGCCCATCCTCTCCGATGCTGCAGCCACAATGGGATCCAACGAAGTTCACATTCGTCCGTGAAATGGCACCCATTCGAATCTGGTCAAAAGCCCTGGTAAATAATGAGGAATATGTCGAGACGAAAGCCACCGTGCGACGTCTACAGGTTGCTCCTATGGCCACGCCGACCAGATTCTGCTGTGCTATGAAACACTCAATGAATCTTTCGGGAAATGCATTCCTCATCTTATCCGCATACGTGGAGTTCTTCGTATCGCCATCGAGGGCAATAACCCGGCAATTATCTGCCGCAATCTTGGCCAAAGCGGTACCATAAGCCATTCGAGGTGCCACCGAGTCTCCTAACCGATAATTCGGTGAACTACACAGCATTATATTGTTGATATCCACCTCGGCGGCTTTGTTGCACTTTCCAATCTTTTTGGGTGTCAAGCGAACATTGGGATTCGCGATCATCATCTGCAGGTGGTACATATATTTTAAGTAACATTTTAAAAATAAAATTCAGGATTGAAAAGACTACGGATCGAGAGATCCCTACCTGTAGATTCTTGATAGCTGCCTCTGCCTTCTTCCCAAGTGGCTGCCCATGCATGTCGTCCATTCCCTCGATCCCCAGAAAATCCTTGCCCTTGATTGTCCTGGCCAATAGCGCAGTGGGCTTGCCCTTAGTGTTGGCCGCATTATGAAAGGCCTTGACCAGTTCGTCGATGTCGTGACCATTTAAGACCAGGGCATTGAAACCAAAGGCATCTAATCTCTCCCGGTAAACCTCCATTATCGTCGCAGGATCCGTGCAAAAGAAGTTGTTAATATCGAAGATCACGCATAGGTTGTCCAGGCAGTAGTGGCCAGCGAAGTGGAGGGCTTCCCAGACGGATCCTTCGACTGATTCCTTATCGCCGAGGAGCACATATGTGCGATATTCGGCTTTGTCCAGATATTTGCCCACATAGGCCATTCCGGTGGCAACGGAGATGCCCTGGCCCATTGATCCGGTGCCCACATCGATGAAACTCAGCCTTGGCGTTGGATGCCCCTCCAGATCGCTGTCCACCTTGCGCAAATTGAGTAGCTCCTCCACCGGAAAGAGTCCAGCCTCCGCCCATGCGGCGTACAGAATGGGCGCGGCATGCCCCTTGGAAAGGATCAACCTATCGCTGGACGGATCGCGTGGATGCTTTACGTTCAGTCTCATCTGCTGGAAGAACAGCACCGTCATAATCTCAGCTAAGGAGGCACAGGACGTCGGATGGCCAGACTTGGCTGCCTGCGTCGAGTTGATTGAGTGGATGCGCAACTTGTGGGCCATGTCCTTCAGGTTCTGCACCACCTTACTGTCCAGCTTCGGAGACGTCATTCTTCCCGTTTCCCACTTTTAGAAACAAATTTGTAGAATTTCTGAAAACCTAACCAAAGACTGACAGATATGAAATTTGTTTGGGTTTTGATTTTCAAACTTGAAATTTTTATCTTTTTTCATAACGTAAAGGGACCTTTCCGAAGTTTTGTTAAAGCTATAAATAAAGAACCTTCTCCGTTTTTTTTTCAAACAGGAAGTTCCCACGTCTTGTTTTTTATGGTTTTCTTTTCTTTTTAATTAATTGCGAAATTGCAGCAAATTGAATGAATCAAAGCAACGTCCCCACTCGAATCAATCAAACGGCCAAGAAATAGCATTACAAATCAAAGGTCGTAAATATTTTGAAGGAATCAACTCACAACAGATGAAAAGTATCCCTGAAATGGAAAATGAATAAAAGTTGCAGTGTGAATTTACAATTTACGGATAAAAAATTGCAGTTCTCACAGAAAATAAACGTAAAATGCAGGACCAACCCCCTGGACCAATAAATGCCCATCAATGAGCCAAGAGGTGCAGTTTTGAAAACAGTTTAAATTTGATTTGGGTGCGAGTTGTGGAACTGCAGAGGGGTTGCATCGGACTGTAACCCTTTCCACGGGGCAACGAAGCGTTTCGCCTGTCCGAGCGCTAAATAAATCATTTCTCTTCGATTAATTCGCTTGCTGACATGTGCACACTCACATGTCCCGACTCGAAAAGGGGTTTACTTTGAAATTTAAAAATGAGAAGAAAGGGGTTTACACATGGTTTTGGAGTTTCTGTTAAGCGACCGCTACTCATGTCAAATTTTGGCTTTTGCTCTCCTTTGTAGTGGCATGGAAAATTGTCCATGGCCGTGCAGTCATAAGTTATAAATTAGTTAAGTTCCTTTCGAGCACTTTAAAGTCACCCAAAGGGGTTGTTCAAAAATAAAAAAGGGGTTTCCCTTCCCCCTTTTCCGAGTCATTGGGTTCGCTTCTTTATGTGTGTTTTTTGTTGAAATTTTTAAGTGCATTGATTAATTTTTATTTTGATCGCTTCGAAATCAATATTGTTTGCAAATTTCTTGTAAATACCCGGCGGAAGACACAGGCCCAGCAGTTGGTGTGTGTAATTTGTCGTCATTTGCAACGCCCAGCGCTGTTCCCTTGATGCTTGCCACTTAGCAAAGGGTTCAGTATCAGTATCCATGGCCAATATTTCGAGTGCGAATCCAAGCGAATTTATGTAGTGGAAGGGCGTTAAAGGAGTTTTGCCAGCTGATCACCGTGAGAAAGGGAATTATCGGTTGGACATCTGGTGAGGAGTTTTGGCAGACTTTTTTTTACTTTTCTTTAAGAAAATAAGAAGGAAATACTCTTCATAGATATTTCATCAAATAATGTATTTTATTTGGCTAATAACTAGAAACTTGTAACAGATTCAATTAACGTTTGTCAGCAGAACCAGAAGGTCTTCCCCACTCAAAGATGTGAATGGCATGAGAAATCGCATTCCGATTCGGGATAAATGTTCCCAGGCTAAGCAGGCAATCGACATTGATGGGACATTTGACTAAGTGGAAACGATTGACCTATGTCCAAGCTCATTTATTGATTCCAACCATTACCATTTGCATAGTAGCTATCAGGGATTCCCCTCTCTTTGATCTGATTGCGACGCGTGTCCTGTTCGCCGATGCAAATTGGTCACACCCTTCAGATGTCAAAAGAAATATCGGCGGATAGACGACAAATCGATTTGCATGGAAGGCAGCTACTATTAATAACTTTAGCCCGGGGTGACATAATTGTTCGAGGACCAGCTTGACCAGCCTGCGTTCCATCATAACTCATAATAATGAAGTGCAAATGCCGATGTGCTACCTTGGGCATAATCGGCTTTCAATCCAGACAAAAGGACGCGGCCTCAGGAGTCACGTGCCTGCCTTCTAATCCGTGTCCTCGACTCTCCTTTCTTTTCCCGAGTGAAAGTCCTGCCCGGCGAATTTGTTACGCTTTGATTTCTCCTTTTTTCCAAGCTGATCCCTTTTCGCTCCTTTTATTGTCTTGTCTGGACATTCGGTTGCTACCTACTCGAAGTCGTGCCCTTGATTAAATTATCTCAGTTTATCCCCGGGCTGGAAGTGAGTCGCTCTCGTGGCGGAGATAATTTTATGTTTGGTACTTTTCTGTGAAACGATTTCGATTGAGTTGTTGACTTGGAAAAGGGTTATGTGGATTTTGGATTGCAATTTAAAGCAGTTCGGATACATCAGTATGGCTATCGTTAGAGACGCAAATGGATCTATGAGAGGTGGAGGATATCAAAGCAATTCCTTATTTAAATCACACTCAACCTCACTAAATCTGTAACCAAGTAAACCTTTTCATTTATGTTTTATATCAAAGAAACTTAAATTAGTTATGCTCAAACGATATCAATTACTATCGCTTTAACTGATAAATCGTATGCCCACCTTCTGCTTTCTATCTCCCAAGCAGAAGTACATTCAAATATCCCTTTGGACTCCCGACCGTTAAAGCCCTGTTGGTGTCTAATGATCGGCCAACTACCAAAATAGGTGGCACTGATTTAATAGCAGCTCGGTGGTCTCCGTTTTCCGAGTTCTTCTACAGCTCTCTCCACCCAAATGGTCTCCTTATGTCTGTCTCTATTTTCAATTTCGTTAATGACCCAAAAGTGGCGTAAACCAATTTATACCGAGTCCCAGAGTCTCGCACACAAGACAAATAATAGCGCAGCAGGACATTGACAACAACACCCGGGAAATGGATGAGGAGTGCACTGGGAAAAGGTCCTAATAACAAGTGTTTAATAATATATATCCTTCTAAGAGAGAAGTATGTTTAAGGCTTTCGGGATTATGGACAAGACTTTTCTAATATTGCAGGCATTATAAGTGACATTTAAAGATCATGAACTAGGTTACTTTGATATCTAAAACTTTTCTCCCAGTGTGCCATAAACTGAAGCATATTGGTAGGTAGAATAGAAAAGTAGAAACGAGACTGTCGACCGGTAATTGACTGCCGCTGATGGTCACTGGCCAAAATGCCGATAATGAAGCGCAATTGTGTTCAGCTGATGGTCAGAAACAAATTTCGTTTAGGGCAATTAATCATATTCGGGGACCGAAGGAGTTACAAATTCATGACTTCTCTTAGCTACAAATTTAAGGTGTTGCCTCGTAAGAATAAATCATTGGAAAATTCTTTCTTTTGCGTTTTGTTTGTGGAACCAAGACAACCTCCTGTGGTTTTGTGGGTGTTGACACACGTTTTTTTTTGTTGGCGGGAAATAGTTTAGATTTCTATAACTGGAAGTTGGGGCTATGAATCATGAGATTAATGAACAGACGGCAGTAAATGTCAATCCGGGAATCTCAAGAAGGCTTTGCTCAACTTCACTTAACTTCAGTTTTTCCTGGTCTTTAACATCAAACAATTAAGCGGGCAAAGCTTTCTTTGTCGGCACTTTGATATTTGATTTGCCTCTTTTCCTGCATCGTTCAGTTGAAGTGGATAAAGATACAGATACTCCCACTCCATCGGAAGAATATGGTCGTTTGTGGCCATATTGCGTTTCACTTTCGCTCCATATACAGGCCTTTCGCATTTGGGGGCGTTGTTTGCCTGGCCCCTTTTCCGCTTTCCACTTTTCCAACTTGGTTTTTGCACGAAAACTGGGTCACTGATGTCGTCCGATTGTTTGTCCAGTGCGAGGGTCCCTTCGCGGGTTAGTGTACTTTACTGCTAAAATCAATAGACTAGCTCACTGTAATTAGCTTTGACTTAAAGTGCCAGCCATGCGAAGTTCAGGACCTGGGAAGGTGGTACTTGCTTTGTTGTGAGTCATTACCATAGGGGGTTAATGGCTCTGAGTAGCAAGTAACAGGGAAATCGGACTGTAAACTCATGACTGAATGGAGTTATTTGTTCTGCATTGAAGTGCAAATATGTCATTAGAAATTTCGTAGATTGAGAACATATTGCTTGAAACTTTATCCATTTGATTAAATCGATAAAAATTTTGTATGTTGTGGCTTTATTTTTTGAACATATTTAAATCTAGTCAATACTAGTCAATATCATTGTCGATTGTCACAATAAGGTTTTTCTTGGCATTCAGCCATGTTGCACTATAGATTATAAAACGTCATTTCAGTTCGAATATATGATAGCCTTATACGAACCTGGATTCCCAACACCCATATTGCCAGTTTGAGTTTGGGGACTGGCCATTGACATTCCTGTTGCAGGAATATGACTGGGTGAAGTGGCAGGCATGTCGTAGCTATAAGGACTGGAATAACTGCAATAGAAAACAAATATTAAAAATATAAATATACTATAGAAAGATATATCTCACCTCATTTGACTAAGAGGATACGAGTTCATGTTCATTTCACAGCCACCACCCATGCCATAGACCTGACCACCGGTGCCCATCTCAGCCAGGCCAGCTGCTCCAGCTGGACCATAGATGGGACAGGACTCGGGAGCCAAGCCGATATCTATGCCATTGGGAAAGTGGTTGAAATGGTTTCCATCGTTGGCAAATGGCTTGTAATCAGAGGAATAAACAGTTTGGTTCTGCAGAGAATCGCCCATAAAGCCATTGTTATTACCAAAGAAATTAGAGGCTGGCATTGCCATCGATGGGGGAAAGTAGGATTGAGCTCCTATGGAATAATTTCTTAACTAGTTGCCAAGTTTTAATGATAAAATATTATTAAGTACCTAGAATGGAGCTGGTGTAGTACTGCTGAGCACCCAGAGAAGAACTGAAAGCCTGTTGCATACCTTGAAAAGCTGATTGTTGATTTACCGAAAAACAAAAAAGGTTTTAAATTAAAAAGACAGCAAGTTGATTTTTTACCTTGATTGGAGTTGTCATAAAACTGTTGAGTTCCTGAAATATCATTTTGGAACGGTTAAATATTTATTAAATAAAATGTAATTCATACCTTGATTAGGTGTAGCAAACATTAGCTGGGGACCTAATAATGTCAAAGAAATACATTTAATTTTTTACATTTTTTGGGTAATATTTTCAAACCTTCATTGGGATTGCTATAAACTTGTTGTGTTGCCTGCGGAAAGTTGTTGAAATACTGCTGAGCCTGAGCATTCGAAAAGGATTGCTGAATTCCTGTAATTTGGCATGTAATATTTATTATTTAAATAATTTATAATTTCCCTACCTTGCTGTGCAGTGGCATAGCATTCCTGGAGACTCTTCTGGTACTTTTGCATAAAGGCTTCCATGTCGGCGCTGTTTGCTCTCTGGTTAGATGGAACACTAGTCACGTTTCGTGGACAACTTTCAGCGGAAGATGATAATGATGAGGAAGCTTTCGATGTGCTGCCAATATCCAGATTATTCTGGCCACCGCCTCCTCGTTGTTGTTGATTCTGTTGCATGACTGGCATGGAGTACATTGCATTGTCAAGATAACTGCCAGGTGTCGTGTAACCGTAAATCGGAAATCCTGTACTTGGATCAATGCCCATGGGAACTGGCATCAACTGCTGCTCCTGGCCAGGATTTCCCTGATCGCCATGGCTGCAGCCTGCTTGCTGTCCAGGATCTCGCATCCGATAGCAACAGCCACAGGAATCCTTAGAGCAGCAAGGACTCTCAAAGGGGGTTTGGGCGGCCTCTCTAGGTTGGTTGACAATGGTCTCATCGGATCCCGAAGCAACAACCGGCATAGAGCGTCCATGACTGTAATAGCCAGAGTCTTGGGACATTCGCCCTAATGAACAGGTTGGAGACTCCCTCTGATTTTGTGCACCAGAAAGTGTGGACTTTAGGTCATAACCACTTGAATCGGAAGATTGCCAGCTACTAGAAGGGCGGCAAATAGGATCTAAGAGAAGGTTTGGAAACTTAAACTTTAATCCTTTTTAGATTGAGATTTTAAAAACATATAATTCTGGGAATTAAAACTCACATTCGCTGAAACTGTAGTCTCGGTAATCCATCTTCTGACCTCTTTGTTGGTCCACTTCACCCGAGGCTATGCGATATTGTGAGCTAAGAAGCAAAAATATTAGGCAAAAATATATATATATATATATCAAACTCACTAATGAAGATTCGTCTGCCTTAGAAACCCTGTAAAATCGCTGTCTGAATCCAAATCAGATTTAGGTTTCTCTGGTCTTGGTGTATTAATACTCCCTGATGATGCCTTTTCAACCTTTTCCTGATCACTCTTCGGGCTTTCACTAGCGATTTGATTGTTTAGGTCATGAGCACTCATTGGCCTGTATGTCTTGCAGACATCATCAAAGCTTTCGATGGAATCTAGTATTAGACGGGTCTCCTGATCCTGCTCCTCGCCCAAGGAATCGGCATTATCATCGTTCTTATCCGAGGTGTTCATAATGATTACCAGATGGAAATCTTTGTTGAGCTTCGTTGTCTTTTGACACCAATAAGGTATCTAGCTCATTCCTAAATGTTTTAGAATTTGGTTTCCTTTATGGAGATGTCACTTTTTAAAGTAGCTTTACGCTTTTCTCAATGCCTGCTTTGTTCATGTATAAAACAAATCGAGTGCTCTATTTTTTAAGATGTTGTTTTGTCCCTAAAAAGCCCTCAACAACCTGTGGCCATTTGGAATTCCGAGCCATTTGCAGTTACCACCTGACTATCTCTGATCAGCTTAACATATGTGCCACTAAATTAACCAAATTAACTACAAATATGTTATCATAAACTGTCTCTATGCTAACCATAATTGCAGGCGCTAAAACGGAATTCGAATGGAAAAGCAAACCCGAATGAAAACTCGATCCAGGACACGCGACTATAAGAGCATTTGCATACCCTATAATTTCCCCTCGCTTATCATCGCCAAAAAATCAAGCCACACGCGAAAAAAAAGGTTAGCGAAGGACCCTAATTTCCAGGTCGCTTATTGTCATGTCACGACAATTAAACAATTTTTTGTGAGCTGGTTCCAGTGCGCTTTTGAGCGATTTAAATTAAGATAGGCGGCAAATTAGCGGCCCGAAATGTTTGCATAATTATTATTTGACTGGCGAACTTATCAGGCGCTGCTGATCTCCTGGCTGCCACAGATGTTACACTTTTTCCACTTTTCTGGGGTTAAATGGGTTCCCGGGTTGGTTAAAGGGTACTCGCTACACCCTCTTTTCCTTTGACCCCGATGACTTGGACATTGGCGCAGCAGACTGAGATCTGCGGTTAGGCGTAACCTTTGCTTTTTAACCCTTTTGGGCGGAGTGTGCCTGGCATGACACAACGGGAAAATTCTCAGCCTGTTGTCTGCCCTCAACCTAAAATGGTTTTTCCCTTCTAAGGTGACATATTGGTTTTCACGATAAAGATCACTAAATGTTTGCTTACTCCTTCATTTTCCTGGCTGAATGTCCTTTGCCATTTCGTTGCCCGAAAGGGTTAAGTGGCAATGCGGTTAACCCCTTAGTTTCGATAGTTAATGAATAAAAATGGTTTTTGCGGGCAATATTAATATAAAAATTTTAGTTTAAACAAAAAATATCTGCAACAAGAAATTAATTTTTTAAAATAATTTTTCTGATTTGATGACAACTTTTCTTTAACCTTTTTTTAAGCATTTAGATTAAGTGAACAATATTGACTTAAATAAACAAATAAAGTCTAAAATTTGGATCGAAGAGTAATATATTTATTCACTTTAATATTCTTAGGATTTTTTTGATAAAAAAACTAAAGTTTATTTCAATTTAAAAATGTTTTAATAAATAAATAATAATTTTCTTCAATAATTCTCATAACTTTCTCGCCCTATGAAGCCGATTCTGAAAGTTTTTCTGAAAAGATAAAAAAATAACACAAATTTGTTTTATTTTATTTTTTATAAAATTGTATTTATTTTTTGCTGTTGGTCTTATAAAAATGTAATTGCTTAAAAATACTAATTTTCTCATTTGATTAATTTATTTTTTTGTTTAACTTGCAATGCCAAAAAGTAAAATAAAGTTCTTGAATTTTGCTAAAATCAATAATAATGGTAAAATACAATTCGACTTGTAAGATTCTTGATTATTCGTATCAAAATTGCTTAAGAGTGTTGCTTTGCTTCGTTTTGGTTTACATTTTATATTTTATGTTCGGCGGTTTTTGTAATCTATTTTCTTGTGGCTAGGTTGTAGACATTTGTATTTAATATTTTCTTTATTTTTTGTAAACATATAAAATTTGCTGCTTGCTTAAAAACTATTTTGTACAATTGAGTTGTTGTCTTTTGTTGTTCAAGTTGCTGCGGCTGCATCTTTGTTTGTTTGTTGGTTCTGTACTGTAGTTCGGTATTAACTAGTTTAGGATCTATATATATGTAAGTAGTTGAAATGCAAAAATTTGACAATTAGTTTTAGTTGAGTTTACTCATATGCATAGACATTAATTAGGTTTATGATAATTACACACATTTCTCTTGCTGCCTTTGATGTAATGAAATAATGTATTTGAACCAACCGGGAAACCTTTGCTTGCAAATCTAAACATTTTCCTTTTTTCCTTCAACTGAAATGGGAAAATTTGACATCCAAAAAAGTAACAAACAATCAATATCACTTTAAGCAAATCGATGACAAATTTTGAATTTTCTTCTCTCTCAAAAATAGTTTAAAAATAGTTTTCTTATTTTGTTGTGGAAATATCCCATTTTTTACAAAACTCCCTCCTCCTCGTGTGTCCATACCCAAAAAAGAAATCACAATGCGCTTTGATTGAGCCTGCCTTTCCCAGAAAATCCCAAAGATTTTCCTTCCACCCGGATGAAAAATGGAAACCAAATTTAGTTCTCCTTGGAGGTGGCATCGGTCACATCGTCATCATCGTTGTCCTGACTGCCGCTGCTGATTTCGAAGGATATCTGTATGACCGTCGGGCGTCGCTGGCTGGAGTTGTAGCTATAGATCCTCAGGGCGTAGCAGAAGATCTGGGCCAGAAGATCCCAGCATCCGAACTCCGACATGGTCATCGATCCCTGTTGGCTGCCTAGTGGCACGGATATATTGGCACGGAATTGAGGATGCTGTTGCTGCTGCTGCTGTTGTTGCTGCGATTGTTGCGGCTGTTGTGGTGGGGCAGCAGGTGTTGCAGTTGTCCTAGGACTCGTTGCTGCCTGTTGGCCGCTTTGCTGATAGCTTCTGGCCAACAACTGGGCCTGGTCGGGTATGAAATAGGCGATGGCCATTGCGGTGGCTGATTTTATACAAAATATTAAATTTTAAATTTTGTATAATTTTTTAAAAAATATATGACACTAAGCTGGTATATATTTTTAAAGCTGGCTTGTTTTTTAATTTTGGAATATTTTATTCCATTCACTGCTTGCACTTTCAAGTTCTTTCAGGTCTTTATCTTTCTTATGAAGCACTTGCAAAATTTTTCTGACTCATTTGGCGGGAAAATGTACGAGGAAAACTTGTCGCTGTTCGACGAACTTTTCTGGCTTTTCGCTTCCGCTTGTTATTCAATGTTCTCTTGTCAAGGTTTCAGCGTGGACTGACTGTAAATATCCTTGCTGCAGTCACATTTATAAAATAGCCGTCTCTCTCTCAGTTCCTATAGGAAGCAGAGTTTCTCTCTCGCGGTGAATGTCACCCTTCCAGTTTCCACCACCCCCCAGGAAGCGAGCGAGTGTGTGTATTGTGTGTGTGCTTTGTTTATGCCAACAACCAACCAATTGAACCACCAACCACAGGGCCTCACACCACCAACGTAACGCCACCACCACCTCGGCCAGTTTACCACCCCAAAAAACACGGCTGCCTTTGTTACCTTTACTTCGGAGTCAAAAAGAGGGTGGGAAAGTGGCTGAGAAACCCAGAGAGAGAGTCGGGAAATGAGAGAGAAATTGGGGGAAAACATTTTACGTAGCACTGTTACGTCAAGTAAAACGTAAGCTCTTTGGGATTTCGCTTTTCGAAGGGGCGGTTTCGAATTCGTTTCGAATTTCAGGGGTTAACTTGGGTTTACTTGCACTAGCTGGGTCTATTCATTATTAAGGGGAAGTTGGGCCGCAGTTTGCTCATATTGAAGTTCGAATTTGGTTTCGGAAACATCTTTCTATGGATTTCTCAGCGAGTGAATCAACAATTGTTTGTTAGGGATTTGGTTAGCATAGAAACTGACTTTGTGTGATTCTTTGTAAAGGTTGCAACTTTATGATTAAAAAAGAGATGCATTATTCGTGCTGAGAGTTAATCAATTCAGTTTAATTGAGCTGATGAAGGGCCATTATATCCAGCTTAAACATAAACTACTTGTTATTTAGTGAAAATAATCTTTAGTGAAAATAAAGCTGTACCTCTGAACACGTGAGCAACCCATAAAGAAACATCGTATGAAGTCTCCTTCAACTCAAAACCTCTTAGAACTAGTAACCCGCTTTCCAGATAAACCTCCTTCAACTCGAAAGCGCTTACAAGGCAAATCCTTAAAGCGAACTGCTTACGAAATGATCCTTGAAGATTCCCCCCCACGGCAACCTTAAACTTGACCAACCCACAGGAACCCCAAATGGGTTGACCTTCAAGCTAAATCATTTCCAGCACTTGCAAACATTTCCCGCTGACGACAGTTTTAGCCTTGGAAAGTGTTTGTTCCCCCATTTTCCTCTTTGAACTGCAGCTCATCCATTATGATAAGCTGTTCCCGGATAGTTGCAATCTAAGGGAAACAGTGGTGGAGGTAAGAGGGTTTTTACGTCTCAATTGACGTGAGTAGTGATCCTGGATTTAGGTGACAGAATACATTTATCTGCTTATTTTGTTATATTAAAGAGAACAAGTGTAAGTCTTAACAGCAATTATACAAAATTATTCAAAGTACTTAGTCATAAAACCCCTTTTCACCTCCTCCTCTGCTTAACATGTTCAATAAATGTCATTTATGCAGTAGCACTTTAACATTTTAGAAAAAGATTCCTAGGGAGCAGGAAGCAGAATGCCAATTGAGCTTATTTCCTCCCCCTATGTAACATTTTCGCTGAGGGAGCCCGAACAAAGTTTCAAGGCCATCGCCAAGGCCAAAGGGGCCGCCATTTGTGGGTGCTGCTCCACAAGTCTCCTACCGGCAAAAGCTTTTTACTCACTCAATTGGCTTCAAGGTCATGCCGGCCGGCGTTTCCTCCCACTTTCAGCTTTTTCTCTCCATTTCTGTGCGTGCGGCCTTGACAGTGAAAATCGTTTAGGGAGCACAGCTCCTCCAAAGAAAGTGTGGGTTTACAGTGGGTGAGCTTTTCTTGACACAGTTGACAGCACGTGCTCTTTACTTTCTTGTTAATATACACAAATGGCAAGCTCAAGGTCGCTGGATATCGATTTGGCCAACTGGGAGGGTCTGCCAAAGTTAACATGAAAGTTATGGTTTGGAAAGGATTTTTTTTATGTTTTTTGTTTACAGAAAATGAGGTGGAAAGGTTTGAAAGATAAATTGGCGATTGTATTATTAAAGAGCAAAGTTTAATAAGGTTAGGGAATGGTTGACATAGACTTTTAATTTAAATTTTATTTTTATAAATATCAGTAATATTAAACATCCATCTGTATTTTACATCCTATTATGAGATGTTCCTGTGAGGCATTGCTTGCTAGTCAAACCCATTCAGATAATTAACCTTTATAGAAAACATCCATTTTGTTGGGAGGGCGACCTGTTAGCTAAACAGTTAATCAACCTTACCTATCTATTCATTAATTCCCCCTAGAGAATTTTACGACAGATGTTAATACATCAATCCGCATTCACCTTGCCCATCGGCCGTGACTGATTTTCCCCTTACCGTAGCATTATTTATAATTTCTGCTACATATTTCCATTTAGCAATATGCAGTCACAGTAATCATAGTGAAGAAATATCATCTCAGAGGAAGATATTTCCCCTAACCCCAGGCCATGCATGTATGGACAATATGTTAGCATCACTTAAACCCCAACGAGTCCTTTTCCAGGACGCAAAACCTAAAGAGTCCCAATTGTGCACTCTTTATGTGTGTGAGTGTGTGTGTGTAACTACTTAAGCCTCATCGTACGCGTTTTAATGCCCATCATCGGCCAATATCCAGCGGCCCATCATTATGTCTCCCTGCAAGGACCTCGACTTCCAGCCTTTCACTCCTCTCCACTCATCCCGGTTCTGCAGTCCGGTCTGTGCAATTATTTCATGCATTGTTCAAGGATTGCTCGCAGAAATTTTCTTTTTGCCTATTGTGAAAGGGCCAAAGTGTTGTCAGGGGATTTCCAGCCCATGGACAATGGGCTCCAGAGAGAGGAACGGAACGGAAGTTCCAACAATGCAGAGCTGCCAGTTCTGTTCTGTAAACAATTGACCATGCACTAGAAAAAAAAGTCATGAAAGCTAAATATTAAAAAATATAAAAGATTTTTCATATAGTTATACAGATATATATACCATTAAGTAGTAACAAATGCTTTTAAAAACAAATTTGTTTCCATAAAATATTTCTAATAGTTCGTTTTTGTTGTATTTTTTTCAGTGTGGCTTACAGTTTGGTTGGGTCTGCAGGATTACGCACCGGTTTACAAGATGCGGCCGGGCACTTAATGATTTCCACTTATGCATTGCAGACACCATCATCATCATCATCATCGTCATCAAAATCGGTTGAGGGCCGCACAAAGTGCATTGAAGACTCGCATCAAGAGTCCGTCCGTATGTCTGGGCTGTTGCTAATCTATATGTAAATTTTCGCCCAACACCAGAGCCAGTTAGCCGTCCAAATCGAAGCTGTAAATACCCTAAGAAATCTCCACAAAAAGTCCCCTTCCGACCGCACCCACACAATGACGTCATGCCAAGTGTTTGACAAATGGCAACATACTAAAAACTTGACAAAGTGTGTTGGCAAGTGTCAGGCCCAGGACGCAGGACTTGGGAAAAGGAAAGTGGCAAATGGTAAGGACGAGGACCAGGACACACGTCCTTTGCATATGTGTAAGTGTGCGTAAAAGATAAATAATCATGTGCTATCATCTGAGGCGTTGGCGAGAACTTTTTAGCCCAGTCACCGACGCCAAAAATTAATTTCATACATTTTAAAATTTCAATTTATTTTGCTTTGCACGAACGCGCTGCGTCTTCAAGCAGACAATGGCGTAAGGGAAAAGCCCCCAGAAAATGAAAACCCCATGCCCTGGCAGTCGGAAAAGCCACCCCCACAACCCCCTTTGGCCATGTGTGTCCTCATTTGGCTTTTGTTTTTCTTCAGCTCGTCCTTTTTTCACACTTGTCACTTGCATTTTTGACATTTCAGTTAGCAACAGGATGGGAAAGAATGATGATGACTGCGCGAAGAAAAGGACAATGAGAGGGTTTTCGCAGGATTGCAGGGTTGCCGGAGGCGGTATATGTCAGCTCCTTAATTAATTATGTGTACTTGTATGCACAATTGCAGTGACAGTTGCTGTAAAGTGCAGCTCGGAAATGATGTTGAACTTTAAAGAAAGTAGCTGGAAAAAATGTAACTGCTTGGTGATTAAACTTATGGGGAATATTCTTTAACGTCATTTGGTTAATCTTCATGGCTATCATTTAGCCATCATGTTGAGACTAATTAATATTTAAGCCTAGAAGTCATTTATACATATTATACATTTGTTGTCTACCTTTTTTATAAATAAAATAGGTGAAGAGTTTAGTTTTTTAAAGGACAACTCTTTTTATAATCTTTTCCAAACTCCAAGCTATCTAAATTCTTCACCAACAAGTTGTTACCCAAAACATGGAAAAGTTTTTATAGCTTTTTGATTAGTTTCTGACCCGACTGGCGAGCTCCAAAAAAATCCACTGGGATTCGCCGTGTTCCTCCCAAGAGGAGTCAATTTAAATTAAAGGAAACACGACGAGCTGCATATTGAAATGTCCTGGACGAGACTGCTTTCGCCCCCCTTCCCCTAAGGGTTAAGGGACTGAGGGGGTTAAGCCGCGGGAGATGGACGACACCCGACAAAAGTTAAATTGCAGGTATTTAAGCATTTTATACAAAATTCATCATCATCATCTGGCGGCACTGGAGAAGTTAATGAAGAACGGCTACCCACTGCCCTGCCCACTTCCTTAACCCCTGACTGGCTGAGCACACTTTCGTGTGCATTATTTAGCACCGTGAAAAAGTTCATAACTGCGCTCCGCTCGTGAATTGTAATTTTTCTTCCAGCGCTTTCATTACTTCATCACTCGGCGAGCGGGAAAAGTTTTCGCATCGGTCTGCGAGCCATTTATTATGCCATGAAATTCGAGCCAAGGCGTCCTACAGCTACTTCACTTTTATTATTTTCAAGTTAATGTTCATTTATGCTGGTTACACCTCGACTTCTCGAGCTTTTGTTTAATTAGACGGTGTGGATTTTATTTGGATGGATCGCGGAGTGGTTTAAAATGGGTGGCGGAAGACTACCAGCTTTTAGCATTAGGAACTTGGCCAGGTTGTTTGCGTTTAATTGCGGAAAATGGTAGAGGAAATTCACTT